TCCCTATCTCACAGTTGTCCCAGAAGGAAGCCTCTTCTAAAGATGATGCACAAGAAAGCCTGCAGTTTGCTGAAGACAAGCAGACTAAGGACATGGATTACTGGAACCATGTCCTGTGGTCTGATGAGACTAAGATAAACTTATTTGGTTCAGATGGTGTCAAGCGTGTGTGGTGGCAACCAGGTGAGGAGTACAAAGACAAGTGTGTCTTGCCTGCAGTCAAGCATGGTGGTGGGAGTGTTATGGTCTGGGGCTGCATGAGTGCTGCCGGTACTGGGGAGCTACAGTTCATTGAGGGAACCATGAATGCCAACATGTACTGTGTAATACTGAAGCAGAGCATGATCCCCTCCCTTCAGAGACTGGGCCGCAGGGCAGTATTCCAACATGATAACGACCCCAAACACACCTCCAAGATGACCACTGCCTTGCTAAAGAAGCTAAGGGTAAAGGTGATGGACTGGTCAAGCATGTCCCCAGACCTAAACCCTATTGAGCATCTGTGGGGCATCCTCAAACGGAAGGTGGAGGATCACAAGGTCTCTAACATCCATTAGCTCCGTGATCTTGTCATGCAGCAGTGGAAGAGGACTCTAGTGGCAACCTGTGAAGCTCTGGTGAACTCCATGCCCAAGAGGGTTAAGGCAGTGCTGAAAAATAGTGGTGGCCACACAAAATATTGACACTTTGGGCCCAATTTGGACATTTTCACTTGTACTCACAGCTGGCAACAAAAGGGGTGTACTCACTTTTGTTGCCAGCTGTTTAAACATTAATGGCTGTGTGTTGAGTTATTTTGAGGGGACAGCAAATATACACCATTATACAAGCTGTACACTCACTACTTTACATTGTAGCAACGTGTCATTTCTGCAGTGATGTCACATGAAAAGATATAATACAATATTTACAAAAAATTTGAGGGGTGTACTCACTTCTGGGAGATACTGTAACTGTCACTGTGGTGGAGCCTGGTCTCTCATGTGTGCTGTGGAACATTGGAAATTGAGGTGGAAGAGTGTCACTTAATAGATTGATGAACAGACTTTGGAGATAATTCAATCATCGCTGTGGATGGACTTAAAAGACTGGCACACTTAATTTTTTATGTAATGAAAAATGTATTTTTATTTATTCATTTATTTTTTATATTTGGTTGTTACAAGCACTGATGTCACTAGGATGATATTTATTTGGTGTATGTTCTGAGCAGTGCAGCATCGTTATTTACTTTTATTTACACTTCTGTGCCATGTGCATTGAGTAGCCTCAGGTTCTATGCCCCTCCCACTGTTATCGCTATTTTGCCACACTTACAGTTCACTGCAGTGATCTGCATGCACCTCCTAATTATTTTCCTATGGGTACCCAAGTCAGACCTTCCCCAGGAAAAAATATCTACAGCTCTGACTTGTGAGACAATCATTGCTCCCTCCATAGATACAGTGGAGAAGTAAACATAGTCACCCAGTGGCAAGAAATGTGTTATATGCAGAACAGCCTGTAAATAGTAAAATAATGCAGTCATCTAAATACTGGTAACCTGCAATATATTACATTTTTGGTTTTGGGTTTGGATATCCACTTCAGCTCCAAAAGGTTTTACCCCCTTCATGACCAGGCCATTTTTTACTATTTAGCACTGCGCTATTTTAACTGGTAATTGTGTAGTCATGCAACGCTGTACCCAAACAAAATTTATATAATATTTTTTCTCACAAATAGAGCTTTGTTATGGTGGTATATGATCACCACTGGGTTTTTTTATTTTTTATTATATAAACAAAAATACAGAAAAGTTTGAAAAACAAAAAAAACTTTTTTTAATTTCTGCTACAAAACTTATCCAATAAAAATGTTTTTCAAAATCTAATTTCTTCATAAATTTAGGCCAAAATGTATTCTGCTACATCTTCATCCACCAATCAGATGCCTCTTCCTGACTGTCATCAGCTCCTGTGCTGCTTCCCACATGCCTCTGCTGTGTGATTCTACTGGCGTTGCAACATCAGCAGAGGCACAGCAGAGGTATGTGGGAAGCGGCACAAGAGGTGAGGTCAGAGAGGTAGAGGCGACTGATTGGTGGGTGAAGGTGTTCAAAAAATATACCTGGAAATTAGCAGGATGAGAGCCTAGAGGGAGAGAAGGATCCACATCTGTACTGCCGGATGGTGCTCAGTTGATACTTTGAAGATCCACTGGAAAAGCATCACAGACAACTGTACTCTCTTCAAAGGGCAGCAGAAGGAGACACATGGCTCTGCAAAGGAAGCGAGTTGCAAATACCTGCATGCCATGGAGGTGGCTTTTTTAATCCAGTCATAGAAATACGCAATGATTCAACATGGCAGCATGAGTGTAAGGCAGTCTTAAAGGGACCAGCACCCAATTTCTAAGGAAGAGCATCCTGGAAGACATGGGCACCCTAGTGGACAAGAGGAGCTTGAGATCTCATCACAAGTGCACAGAGGACAGAGAATTGAGAAATATCTGCTGGAATCAGCACATGTGTTATTTCACCATACATGTGTTGTAGGTCACATTACCAAGGGTGAGAGCATTGAGAGCACAGTGGTGAATGGGAAGACAGTTATATAACACATAGTTACACATATATTTACTTGAGCTAAGGATATTGCACCAATACAGAGCTTTTGATGAACTGTCACTATTAAGTAATATTTAAAATAAAAATGGACTATTTTTGAACACAGTCATTTTTGTTGAATACACATTTATTTAATTGTATGCATAATCATTGCACCCGAATGTAATGATTTACTGCACAAAGTGACACAAATTTGTGGTTTATTTAGTTTTAGGTAGCGCAGCACTTATTATTATACTTTATTTTAATTTTTTTTACAGGGACAGTTCATTAACCAATTCAATACCCGGGCACTTTTACATCTTCCTGCCCAGGCCATTTTTCAGGTTTCAGCGCTCTCCCACTTTGAATGACAATTGCGCGGTCATACAACATTGTACCAAAACTAAAATGTTATCATTTTCTTCACACAACTAGAGCTTTCTTTTGGTGCTATTTAATCACCGCAGGGGTTTTATTTTTTGCTAAATTAACAAAAAAAAGACCAAACATTTTGAAAAAAAAAACACACGTTTTTCTTTGTTTCTGTTATAAAAGTTTGCAAATAAATAATTGTTCTTCATAAATTTAGGCCAAGATGTATTCTGCTACATGTCTTTGGTGAAAATAACCCAAATTAGGATGTATTTTTTTAGTCTGTAGGAAAGTTATAGAGTTCACAAACTATGGTATAGATCTGAATATTGATCAATCCTGAAGTACTGACAGCCAATCTAATTTCTTGAGGTCCAAGAATGTCAGAACAGTACAGATATCCCCCAAATGTCCCTTTTTGCAAAGTAGACAGTCCGACGTACTTCATAAGAGGCATGGCGAGTTTTTTGAAGTTGTATTTTTTTTGTCATAATTTTTCAGAAAATGAAAAAAAAATTTAAAAAATTTGTTTCACTATTTTTTTTTACTTTTTGTCACCAGTGCAGTACAGCATCATTATATAACTGGCATGGCGGTGATCAGGGACACTGACTGGTGACAGTATGAAAAAAAAAAAAAATATATATTTTTTTTATTTTTTTTATTATTTTTTATTTTTTATTACATTTTTTTTTTTATTTTTTTAAGATTTTTTTTTCATATTTCACTATGACAAAAGTAGTACAATATTTACCATAGTAACAGTGTACTACTTTGGGGAAGTGATCAGTATTTTTTTTTTTTTTTTTTTTTACACAATTTGCTTATAGCAAAAGAATTACTTTGCTATAAGCAAGCATTTACCTGAATGACATTGATTCATTCAGGGTTTTTTTTTTTTTTTCTTTCTTGTGCTTAGCTGTGATTTGGCCACAGCTAATCACATGACATGTGCATGTGATTAGCTGTGACCATTCACAGCTAGACACTAGTATACAATGGAAAAGCATGAATGAAGCCATCCATTGTATACAACTGTCATATGACCTGCTGTGATAGGTCACAGCAGGTCACATGGTACCGGCAACGGGAGACCGTACTCAGATCTGTCATCGGCCGTGTCCGAGGTACACAGCCGGTGACAGATCACACCGCTGCGCGGCTCTGCAGGAGCACAATCTGCGCATGTGCGGGAGGACGCCATATGGCATCCACCCGGAACGCTGATGACATTTGCCAGCCGCCATTCGGCCATAGGGCAGGCGGCAAATGGTTAAGATGGTTCAATGAAGTATATCTTCATACTACTAACTGAAGAATTGTCTTTCGGTGGAGAAAGCTCTATGGTTCCATATTTCCATGCCTATGCGGTTTAAATCATTATTTTGAGTTACTATCTTTCTGGAGTGAGTCGTGGAGGTGCCTTCAGGTGGAGAAGATATTTGGCTTATTTCGCCATCTGACTGTCCTTAACCACTTCAAGTCCGGACACTTTTACCCCTTCCTGTCCAGAACAATTTTCATCTTTCAGTGCTATCACACTTTGAATGACAATTGCGCGGTCATGCAACACTGTACCCATATTTTTTTGAGACAGATAAAACTTTATTTTGGTGGTATTTATTCACCACTGGGATTTTTATGTTTTTGCTATATAAATTAAAAAGTCCAAAAATTTTGAAAAAAAGTGTTAATAAAAGTGCAAAATAATTATTTTGCAAATAATCTTTCTTCATAAATCTTGGCCAAAATTTATTCAGTTATCTTTTTAATAAAAAAAAAAATAACCTGAATTAGTTTATAACCAAAAATTATTATTTTTACATTTTTTTTTACATTTTTATTTAAATTTTTTATATTATTATTTGTTTTTTTTTTTACATACCATCGCCCTAGCAGTACTGTGTCACCATAGTACTACTTGTGGGGGGTGATGAAGATTTTTTTTTTTTACACTGATTGCTTTTACACCCATTAAAGGCTGTAAAAGCAATCATTTCTCCTGCTCTCTGGCTACATTCTTGCAGCCATTGAAAAATACTGTGTGAGCTGTGATTGATCACAGCTTGTCACATGGCACAAGGCTGTTGTGAATAGTCTTGTACCATGTGATCTCTGTGATCATTCACAAATTTCACACATAGTAAGCAATGATGTCAGAAGTGACATCTTGCTTACTACTCTTCATGTGATCACTGATTGGTCAATCAGTGATCACATGATCGGGACCTCGCACAGAGATCCCGTACAATGATCGGTGTTCTGCTGTGTCCTCTGGACACAGTGGGCACCAGATTGCAGTGCTGCATTCTCCCAGGGAGCGCACGCAACGCAAGCAGGGGTGTGGGTAGGATGTTTATAAAAGGCCACCCACCCCTGCACTGCTCCCGTCTGGCCGTTTATATACATGGGCCAGACGGGAAGTGGTTAAATGCTGTATATGACCTCATGACCTGTGGTCTTACCCTCTGGTAAGAGGCTGTATATGGTGTTGGTGGAGGATTTCTTCTCTTTCCCTTTAGGACGACTCATCACTCCTTTTTTCCCATGTGTTATATGGAAGATTTCATCACAAGTCTAAGGACTGTTTCTTTTTAAGACTTTTCTTTCATTTGTAATGTTTATGTTGTTATGAGAGATTAAGCGCTACATTTTGTACAGATATCAATATTTAAAATAAGAATGACACAGTCATTTTTGTTGAATACACAAGTATTTATTTCATTGTATGCATAATCATTGCACCTGAATGTATTGATTTACTGCACAAAGTGATACATATTTGTGGATAATTTAGTTTTAGGTAGCGCAGCACTTAATATTATACTTTATTTCTGGTGCTGTGGGAACACAATTCAGTGTTTGCTGCTACCATTATATCATTGGTTGTTTATTATGTGTTTTCTGTGGTTTTGGTATCTGGTTTGGGAGAGCAGGAGTTATTTATTTTTAAATAGATGAGTATGCCCCATCTTTTTTTTAGTAAAGAATGAGCTAGGTCCTTGTCTCACAGATGAACAACTGGGTCATGTTTTATTTTTTGTTTGGAGGTCAAAAGATCTAAAGCAGATTCAGGGAGCCTGGGTATAAACTACTGACTTGGTGGGTATAGTGTGCCTTCCCTTTTACATAAATGTTTCTAGCCACCCCACCAATGTGTTGGATGTGTCAAAGGAACGTGGGACTCTCCTTCACATTTTCTGTCATTGCCCACAAATATGAACGTTTTGGGAAAAGGTCCAGAAAATTGTTTTGAACTTAGGAGTTTTTACTACATCTTACTCCGATACCTAAAAGGCACTATAAGAAATCTCTTCTAGTCCACTAAATAATGCAGCTAGGATCTTTATATATATGTTGATGTGCACTGAACCCCCAAGAAGGGACAACGGTTTTCTGTGATTAATGATATCCAACTGATGGGAGCACTTACGGCAGCTAATAGCAACACTGCAAAAACAGTTTTACTGGAATGCGTTCAAATTCTCCCAAGGCTACCACTCAAACCTTTCTCAAAAGTTACATGTCAGGCTCAATAGAGAACAACTAGTTCATTATGGGTTTTCTTACACGGTTTACTTAAGGGGTGTCCCCCCCCCCTTTTTCTGCTCTCTCCCCTTCCCCCCTATTCCTTGTGGTGTGTCTCTGTGGATTTGTTCTTTCCCCTGTTTATCTGTCCTTGTTGTGGTAATGCGTTTCTATGATTTTCTATATAAGTTGTTTTAAGAATATAGTATCCTTGCATGCAACCTAATGTCAGGATGCCCCAGCAATAAACAACTTTTTTTCCATACACCCATTTTTTTGTTGAGTTTTTTTCCGTGACCTTTTCAATGTTATGTAGTTGTACTGTGGACTCTCTGGTTTGTCTCTGGTGTGGCGTAACCTGAAAATGATACTTTTTTTTTGCATGTTTTGTTCAGCTCTATGGAAGGATTTCAAAAAAAGATTCTAGCTATCAAAAACAGAGAAAAAATAGAGTTTCAAAAACTGTTCCTCATTTCTTATTACCTGTTGCATTCAATGATCCAGTAAAAATCTCTAGAAAACTAATCCTTATTATTTTGCTTTTCAATAAATTAAAGCCACTTGCTTTTTCTGAAGGATTAAAATGGAAGTAAACTCACTTTTCCATCTTTTACGTATAGGTAAGCTTCTAATAAATCTTCCCTGTAGGTAAAATGAATGTCTCGTAAACGTGCTGTTCCTTCAGGGCACTGTGCCATGGCTCGAACTCCTGCCGGCATGTGCAGAAGTGACGTCATCGCGGCTCGGCCAGTCAGATGACTGGAGCTCGCGAACCCGGAAGGAAGACCAGGTGAAGATGGAAGCGTGCTGCTGGAGGCCTTCATTTTAAGGTAAGTCTTTCATAATGTGCTAGCTTGTACATGCATACTACCACATTATGACATTTCTTTGCAGGGGAACTTTAAAAAAAAAATTCAACTTGAGATTTACTACCACTTTAAACCCGATTTTTCTTTCTTTTAACCTACATAGTTAGTCTGGCTGAAAAAAGACAAAAGTCCATCCAGTTCAACCATTAAAAAAAAAAAGTTACAATCCTATACCCACAGTTGATCCAGAGTAAGGCAAAAAAAAAACCAGCAAAGCATGATCCAATTTGCTCCTATAGGGGAAAAAAATTCCTTCCTGATCCCCCGAGAGGCAATCGGATATTCCCTGGATCAACTTTACCTATAAATGTTAGTATAAAGTTATATTCTCTGTATCTAGGAAAGAATCCAGGCTTTTTTTAAGCAATCCACTGAGCTGGCCAGAACCAACTCTTGAGGGAGTCTATTCCACATTTTCACAGCTCTTACTGTGAAGAAACCTTTCCATGTTTGGAGATTAAATTTATTTTCCTCCAAATGTAAAGATTGCCCCCTTGTCCTCTGTGATGACCTCAGGGTGAATAGCTCTACACCAAGTTCACTATATGAACCACTGATGTATTTATACATGGAGATCATATCCCACCTTAATCTCCTCTTCTCAAGAGAGAATAAATTCAGTTGCTCTAATCTTTCCTCGTAGCTGAGCTCCTCTATGCCTCGTATCAGTTTAGTTGCCCTTCTCAGTACTTTCTCCAGTTCCCCAATGTTCTTTTTGTGAATTGGTGCCCAAAACTGAACTGCATATTCCAGATGAGGTCTTACTAATGATTTGTACAAGGGGTAATATGATATCTCTCTCTCTGGAGTCTATACCTTTACCTAAATTTCAAATCATGATTTAATGAAGAGTACTGCTTATTTATAAATGCAGCAGCCCATATTTCCACATTGACATTCTGGACAACCTGATTGGCTTTGCTTCAATGTTCAACCATACCACATGGACTTTTGGTGGTATTTCATTATATTTTTTATTTATTAAATTTACTCTTTTGCTGAACTGAAACTTTAAAAAAAGGGTTTCCATTGCAAGGAATCCCTGAACGCACAAGACAAGGAGATCAACACTTTAAGGATTGTTTGTTTCTGACTTTGCAGAAAAGTTTATATCCAGTGGAGTGAGAATCAGTGGTACAAGTGGGGGGTAAGCACCTATGATCTTCCTTACAGGGAAAACGTTTAAAGTTTTAGTTTAAAGTGATTGTAAGGGCACTATTTTTTTTATTAAACAACAAACATTATACTTACCTGCTCTGTGTAATGGTTTTGAACAGAGAAGCTCCAATCCTCTTCTTCTCAGGTCCCCTGCTGGCGCTCCTGGTCCCTCCCTCTTTCCAAGTGCCCCTATAGCAAGCTGCTTGCTATGGGGGCACTTGTGCGGGATCATTCATGAGCTGTCTCTGTGTGTCCAAAAGACACACAGAGCACGGCTCGGCCCCCCCCCACTCCCTCTTCACTGGCTGTCATTGACAGCAGCAGGAGCTGCTGCTGTGCCTAAACCAATGAGAAGAGAGAGCCTCTTGTGCACATCGCTGGATCGAAATCAGGCTCAAAGTAAGTATTTATGGGGGTGTGCTGCTTGCAGAAGGTTTTTTTTACCTTAATGCAGAGAAATACCTTCTGCTTTTAGAACCACTTTAAAGACAGAATTGCATAAACATATCTATGGCTAACATGGTACTTAGTCCACATTATATTAATCCATCTCTTAGATTGTAAGCTCCCAAGATCAGGCCCTCCTATCACTTTTTTATTGAACTGTATTATTGCTGTGTTGTCTCCCTTTATATTGTAAAGCGCTGAGCAAACTGTTGGCACTATATAAATCCTGTATAATAATAATAATAATTTGTATCAAAATGAAAATCAAAATTAAACTTTCAGAATATTGTCTGTATGAAAAACCAAATTGTATGTTTTTATGCCAATTCATATTTCTGTCACCTTTTCAGATAGACAGGTGAGAAAGGGATGTATAATAAAACAGAAGGCACAGACTGACATGTTATTACTTTTTTTTTTACCTTTGTCATTACTTTCTCCTGCATGTGGATAGGGACCAATACAGGCTTCTAGCACCATCTGGTGGAAAAGTTACATAAAAACATGCACAAAAAATTTTAAAATGTAAAAAGATTCAAATAAAATATATTAACCACTTGCCCTGCAGAGTATTTACTCCCCTTCCTGACCAGGCCATTTTCTGCAATATGGCACTGTGTTACTTTAACTAACAATTGCGCAGTCATGGAATGCTGCACCCAAATTAAATTTACATCCTTTTTTCTCACAAATAGAGCTTTCTTTTGGTGGTATTTGAACGCCTGTTCATTTTTTATTTTTTGCGCTATAAACAAAAAAAGACTGATAATTTTGAAAAAAAACTATATTTTTGACTTTACGCTGTAAAACATATCCAGTAAAAAAATTTAGGCCAAGATGTATTCTGCTACGTTTTTGCTAAAAAAATGGCAATACATGTAAATTAATTGGTTTACGTGAAAGTTATAGCATTTACAAATGGCATGGTATATATACTGGAATTTTTTTTTTCTTACTAGTAATGGCAGCGATCAGTGACTTATAGCGGACTGCGGCGGGCATTCTGATACTGGGGGAAACTAACTGCCACTGACATCCCCAGTTACACCAAGACAGTGATCAGTGCTAATAAAAAGCACTGACACAGTACTAATGACACTGGGCAGGAAGGGGTTAACATGTGGGGCGATCAAAGATTTTACTGTGTGCTGTTTTACTATGGGGGCTGTGGGTGCTTCACTGTAAGCACACTGCTTTGTATGGCTGTGCTATGCAGACTGACAGCTGAGGCTGTGAATGAAACTGCAAAATCATGTATATATACCTGATTTTGCGCACCAGTGTCACCCTGTAGCAGTATTTCTGCTATAGGGCGGCACAGAAGCTGTTAATAAATATTTAATGCTTAATCACTGCCCAAAATAGTCATGAAATCTTTTTATTTTGTTTTATTAATGGCCAGAAGCTGATGACTGCAGTCCCTGGGTAT